CAAGCTTCTCTCCAAATGGCTATTTACAGGAAATTGCATAAACCTTTATTTTCTTTGTTATTTATGAAGTTCATTTCAAATTATTCAATTCAATATTGGGGGGAGGGGTGAAGGTTGCCCAATTCCACTGTAGTTTTGCTACCGCGTGAAGAACAGAAATTACATTTCTTAGATATTGAACAATTCATTCCTCGCAGATGAGTACGCGTTACAGCCTCTCTCACCATCAATGGCACAACAAAGAAATTAGGATGTAAGATTTCCTTTATGCCCCCTCTGTAACTATTTTAATCAGCTGATCGTGCATTTGTCTTTGTATGTATAATGGGCCCTCATCCACAGGGCCGTAGCCAGAGTTTGAAGTTGTTTTTTGTTTTGTTTGTTTGTTTGTTTGTTTGTTGTTGTTTTTTTTTGGGGGGGGGCACATACATGTTTTCGATCGACGTACTGGGGAGGGGTCTAAAAAAGTTCAACCGATCTTTGTGTCTCTCAATGTGTCAGATCGTCTTTTGCTATTGAATCCTGATTGTCCACGGGCCGGGGTAGTTGTCCTCGGGGGGTAATTGTCATCGGGGGAATTGTCCTCGGGGGGTAGTTGTCATCGGGGGGTAATTGTCCTCGGGGGGTAATTTTCCTCGGGGGGTAATTGTCCTAGGGGGTAATTGTCCTCGGGGGGTTATTGTCCTCGGGGGGTAATTCTCCGGGGGGTAATTTTCCGGGGGTAATTGTCCTTGGGGGGTAGTTGTCCTCGAGGGGTGATACTCCGGGGGGTAATATTCCAGGGGGTAATTGTCCTTTGGGGGTAGTTTTCCGGGGGGTAATTTACCGGGGGGTGATTGCCCAGGGGGTAATTGTCCTAGAACCCAATAATTTATATCTTGAACTGCGCAGGCTACGACTGTGTGACTGGACTTTGAGTTGAAGTAATTCTGTTATGTAACTAGGAGCTTGACCACTCAATGATTTATACACAAATAACAACATTTTAAATAAAATTCTTTGACGGACTGGTAACCAGTGGAGCTCTTTTAGAAGTATTGTTAATGTTAATATTATCATCCTTGTTATCATCACCATCATCATTACCATTACCATTATTGTTACTATTATTAATATTATGGTAGGGAAGCGGAAATTTAAAGTATGCCATGAGCCATGTATTCTCATTACAAACTCCTTCTCTTTTTACTATTATTATTCCAGAGCTGAACGAATGCGCTTCTTCTCCATGTACTACTGGGACATGTGTCGACCTGATCAATGCTTTCATGTGTATATGTATTGAGTCTTCTAAGCTGATTACAGTGAACTGCAACCCAGGTATGTACAGGGTCATTAGTTGACGTTCATGTGCGTAATAAATGACCACCACTAATGATATCTGTCATGACACATGTTCAAGAGTATTAATCCACCACAACATCACCAACAAGAGTTCTTTCATTAACCTTAATAGACCATTTCGAACGGAGTAATGTTGAACCGAATTCGAAGATATTTTTTTTCCGAGCTGGGAAAAAAAAGTATTTAGATTTTCAAATCTGTCCACAAGTAATCAAAACATTGCTCAAATTGAAAAGCTGCCGAAAAACCTTATCAACTAAATTTCTAACAATATAAAAAGCCTTTTTTACCCACAGTCTTCCTTCTCATTTGCAAAGTAAATCTGAATGAGCATACCTATCCCCCCTCTTATCGTTGCCATAGAATGTAATAATTAACTTCCACGAGCCCAAAATAGTAACTATGAACTTCTCACAATGCTGCTTTTAGTTCCGGTTAGAATTACCCATAGCTTGCTCGAAACAAAGGAACGTAACAGGAATGCTACACAACACTCCAAATAATCCTTATTGATGGATTCGTACCATATAATTCTAAATTGTCGTAATGTCTCTGCAACTCAAGACCATCACAACATCGACACATAGTCCGGCAAGGTTTAAGAAGGATTAGAATTAAAAAAATCTTCAAATGTTACCATTTTTCAAAAATATCTTTGACTAATCGTCATTCCTTCTTTTATGAACATTCCCATTTTCAGAGGTCAGGCAGTGTGAGATGTCTCCATGTCAAAACAGTGGCACGTGTATCGACGAGGTCTACGACTACGAATGCGTGTGCGTCGATGGATATATGGGAAAGAACTGTGAAATATGTACGTATATCAGGACCAGTGAATATGAACTGCTGTCTATTGATTGCTCGTCTAGGAGAAATCATGATTAACCCACTGGGAAATATTCAAACTAATCTCATGAGTGAATACAATGATTTCATTATAGTTAATGACAAATTATTCAGTGAAAAATATCAACACCGGGGAGTTTTTCACAAAGACTAAGATCGACTTTAAGTAGGACTTAACTATGGCAGATCGTTCCTGCCACTGTTTGGTCTCATCATAATTATGATGGAATTGGTCACAAAGCCACAGAATTTACATCGGTTGATAATTCATTATTGAAGAAACAATATTATCTAAAGATCATAATGGTTAGAGCAAACAGTGGCATAAACAGCCTGTCATAGACTCATAGTTAAATCGAACTTAAAGTTGATCTTAGTCTTTGTGAAACACTCCCCTGGTCTGCAGCCAGAATGCCTCTTGAATAAAAGCAGTAAGACTAGGCTAATTCAGGATATCTTGACGCAGGTATTAACATTCAATTTTCTGATTGCCTACTGATTTTATGATATTCTAATTTTAATTTTCCATGTACTATATTTTATAAAGTTGTCAATGTTGTAAATATACAAACTAGGTATAAGATAAAAGCAGGACTTTTTATTCATATAACTCAAGAGTTCAGATTTGTATCACTCTGTATTGTACATTGTAAAGTTCAATAGCAGAAACAATGGCTTAATTTTTTTTAGAAGACCATGCGATGAGATCCATGAGATGAACTTGTTTTAATTTTAATCAAACAAAATGCTTGAAAATGAAAGCAAAGTATTCTATTTTATGAATTCGAAGTAATGCGAGGGCCTCTTCAAGATCAACCTCTTTGGAAAAGCGAGACATTCATCCAGATTTTATAACAAAATGAGTAACTATTTCGGGTTATTTTATCATTCGTACAGATATTAACGACTGTTCGAGTAACCCTTGTATTAATGGAGGGACATGTATCGATCTTGTAGCTGCTTACTCGTGTCTATGTCCAGAGCGATATGTAGGAACAAACTGCGAAGCAAGTAAGGTCTTTTTTAAATCAAATTCATATAGAAAAGCGTCATATCATCAGCTAACTGGCCTATTTTATTTTCCTTGAAAAAATGTTGCTTTCTGTTTCTTTTCTGTATCTATACCGCTGGAATTAATACAAATATCTAAATTTTCTTTACACAGTATCGAAACACCTTTTCCGCGGTTGCTTCCGAATGAGTGAAAAAACTGTTCCTTCCATTCTCTTTAAAAAATTTCTTCCAGGTCCTGTGTAAGAAAAGTTTCCTGCAGAAGCAAGACATCAGCCTATTGGTTTTTTAACCATGGAATTTCTTGAGTTTCCTTTTCTATATATTATTCCATATCCTCCACACATTAAGTGACTGGAAAGTAACAGTCTTCTCATTAATATTATTTTCCATTTGTATCATATAATCATTTCTTTAGCTTTTGTGTTCAGATCCTTTGCATCGTTTGCATACATATGCCTTGACGCACGTTGACGCATGATAACCAGTCTCTAGGCATCGCTCCTGGTGTTTGGCCGTCGTGGCAGATGCGTGCCTTGAACGAGGCAAGCCTAACATGGCGGTCAAGGGTTTCTCTAGCTTTCAACGATCAAGACCCTGTCGCTGCATGTTCAAACATGTTGTGAGCTGATAATTCACTCGCAGACGTTGTCTACAATTTTCCCTCTCACTTTGCATTTTTTTCCTTCTAGCTCATGAATAATTACCTCATCATTAACTGATGGTGGAACATCCTTTAAAGTAACTCGGAGGAGATTTTCACTGTTTTCTCTTAGAAAAGGGTTGGTGTCAATAACCATCAGGAGATGTTACCCTAGATAGTGCGAGATAAATGTGCTCCCCTGCATGTAAGCTGGTTCCGGTCCGCTGTGGGATGTCTGACTGAAGCATGAACACGAACCGGGGTCTCTGCCAGCTTTAATATCGGTCGCCGTTTTCTCAGCAAACGTGCTATTTATCTCCTTCCTCGACCCTTCCCTATCGTCTCCTTCGCTTCTCACGCGACTCTCAACGTCCGCTGTTTTTTCGTTTGTTCATTCATCCCAATAATGAAGAACTGTTTTTTAAAGAAATTTTAGCTTCCAAAAGGAGAGTAAATTTCATCGATCATAACCGTATGGAATAGCGCCCTCTCTCCTTTACAGATATAGATGATTGTAGCAACTCACCATGTGGTGACAATGGCGCGTGTGTGGAAGGGGTAAATTCATATCAATGTATCTGCATGACATGATACTCTGGAAGCAATTGTCACATCAGTAAGTAGCTACTCAATTTTTCTCATCTAACTCATGTTTTTGTCTGTAAAATATGACTAGAACCTTAACATCACAAATGTTGTTACAGAATATGGAGTTTAAAGCGTTCCTCGCGAAAGATAATTTATGATTACTTTTGTACTATCATGAGAAATTGAGCGATTATAAATAAAAATAGAAGATTGCAAAACCATCTAATTCAGTCGTACAACGAACTCACATTTTTACATCCTTGATAGTCATACAGAAACAATTTTGTGGCGGGTGTGCAAAAACCTCTTGCTCAAATATAAACTGTCCAGTTAAATAGATTAATTAAGTGTGTTACATTAAGTGTGTGTAGCAGGGAGCGGAAAACGCTAACAATCGTTGTTTTTGATATTCGCCAGAATATCCTTAATAAGTTGTAGAATGTACCACCGAGCTGGGCGAGTACGAAGAGACTGGTAATTAGAATTTGAAGGCAGCCATGGCCCAAATGTTAATTTTGGTATAAATTTTTGGAAACATAGATTCTCCTTCCTCCCCCCCCCCCGCCCCTCCTTCTGACTTCCATGCCTGCAGTTTCGACGAATGAGAGGCCTGGAATCTTCAGATGCGGAATAAAACATGAGATGGCAGAGATCCTCCATTTAATGTAACAATGTACCATGCATATAATCGTGCTATGACTTTTTACTCCCACGTTTCATTATTTCATTATTTTCTCAATTGCGTGCTACTTCCTCGGACTAGGTCAATATATTATCACTTTTTAGTTGGAAATCTGAAGCATGCAGCATCTTTTCTAAATCTATTCCTCAACAATAAATGGAGGCATATCGACTACATTGTAAATTATTGTAAACTGTTGGGTCTCTTTTGGGTTAAAATGCATAACAGGAAGGGTAAAAACTATTCATTTGTCGGAGTACATTTTCTGGTATCATTTAAAAGGAAATATTGGGAGTACCTCTGCATCAATTAATTTCTTTGTTCTGTGTACATACGGAACTAATGTGTTCATGCCCAAGTGATCCACCAGAAGGAACAGAATTCACCAATCCGACAAATCTATACTTCTACGGTGACGTGTTGACTGTCTCATGCCGTGATTCGTCAGCTTCTACTTTGTGGATCTGCCTTAGTAATAACAATTGGAGCAAACACGAGCTAGTCTGTACAACAGACTCATCAAAGCAGAGTAAGAAGATTATATACTAGGTCTCAATTTTCTCACCTGCTAACCTAAGCCCTGGGCCCCGTTTCATAAAACATAACAAGTGCCACAGATCTTTTGCACAACTGCTCACAACCAATCAGATGACACGATTTCAGTAGCTTAAAACAGTTATTGTATTATAAAACAGGGCCCAGGTATACCTGGCCTTGTCTGTTCTAATCCCGATGTTTATTCATAAATAGTCGAGAAAACGTTTCCATGCTGGCACGAGATATCCTGCCGTGATATGTTTCAGTAGAGCATTTTCTCCAGCGCGATCTTACACAATTTTCTTTGAACAATTTGTTTTCTCCCCCAGTTTTCCCTGCTTTCGAATTGATCTAATTTGACATTGCAGATGTTTATATCCATCAAGATTCAAATTTAAAACAAATTAAATTGTGCAGGCCAAAATTGTAACCAATAAACTCCTTATAAGAAGAGAAATAATATATTTCACAAATGACTTTTAAGCAATTCAAACTCACTATTTTCATCACATTTCTTTGCTAGACCACGACTGTACTCTGTACGTCTAACATATCTAAAAGCTACAGGGGGGGGGGGGGAAGGATATTTGAAGATAGTATACCCGGGGTTAGTTTTCCGAAAAATATACTTCAAGGATAGGGCAAGAAATTTTGATATTTCTTGATGTCTTTTCTTCAGCTCTGGTAATGATTTCTGCATTGCTTGGAGTACTTCTCCCTGTCTTCATCATCACATGTGCTTTATTCATAATGTAAGTATTGATTGGCAGCGCGTAACTATAATCATCATTCTTTTATCGGAAATGTCCTTTTGCAAAACCAAATGTTTTTTTAAAATATGTCATAATCGCGTACATTACTTCTTAAAGGTAAAGACCAGTATTGGAAACGCCCCAATTTCAAAAAATGAAATGGACGCTCTTATTACCAATCATGTGAAAGAATACGTTTTGAATAATACATGACGATAACAATTTTTACCGGGAAACCGCCTACTATTTGGTAAATTAGTTTATCTATTGGTGTGTGAGAGATAAAAACGCACATGTCGCACACGTGTGTGTGGTCCCATATACTTCTTTCTGTGTACAGTACTTGTAACTTTATGAAGACTGGGCCAAATTTCTTTTCATTTTGATGATTCCAGAACCTGAATTGCAGTACATGATCAGCCTTTTCTGATCGATTTCACAACGTTTCTTTCACAATGCAATCGCATGACCATAACTGGTCTTTATCGTTAACTTTAAAAGGACTATAGGCTTTATTTAAGTTTTTATGACTGGAGGATGCATTATGCCTTCCCCATACGACCGACACGCCCGATATCCCTGGGAATTATGTAAATTAAATGCCCAAATATGCCTTAAGCTTATAGAAAAACAAATTAAATCGTCTGGAACAATAATCGTCGAAGGATAATTACATCGTATCGTATATCGGAGTACCCATCATAATTGAGTATATTGATATCAATCGTTATTCTTCATTCATAATAGATATCGTCATCGGACTGGTTCTGCTAAGCTGAATACGAACAACAGCTCCGTTCGAATGACAGGAGGAGAGGTATTTATATTTACCCATTACCGTCAAACATTTAGGCCGATTCAACCTTATGTATTAATCAGCCATTGTGCGCGTACAAACCTAAAGGTTCCATGAATACAACTAATGTTATTTTAGAAGCGTTCTGTATTTCAAAACCAATAATGGGAGAACATGTAAGTGTGAGGTCATAGCTTCATTTCCAAGGTTGTATAGGTTTAGTAAAAGAATAGTTGAATATAAATTATAAGCACAATGAAAATTACACTATACACACTGAAGTGAGACGTCTTTCCATTGTAAGAGATAACATCTTTTCATTACAGTAGTAACAACAGACTGTATTCATGATTTCCAACGCTAATGTTTATAGTTGAAAAGCCCAACATGCATAGAGCACTGAGTGGTATCTGCCATCTACAAGTATTAATTGTCTTATAATATTATTAACTGGTCAAATTCTTTATTCTTGATAGGTTCATTTTGAAGATGGTGGAATCAGTAATCCAAGCCTCGAAAATGTCTCTGCGGACACCAACTACAATGGAGCAGAAAACTTGCCTAAAAAGGACGCCCTCAACGAAGAGGATTTAGATCTGAACGTGGGTGGGCCGCTCGCATCCAATGATACTTATTTGGGCACATTAGATAACGTGCCCCTCCATCCGCCTACCTATTCCGAAGCTTAGTGACCCTTTTGAAATACCTACTTATACCGACACAAAGTGACCCCTCCGACAACTTTTTTATTCCGAAACTTAATGACCCTTTAAAAAATCTTCTTATACCGACCGACACTTAGTGACCCCTTCAACCACCTTCCTATTCCGAAGCTTAGTGACCCTTCCAAAAAATCTTCTGATACCGACACTTATAGTGACCTCTTGAACAAATTCCTATCCAGAATCTAAGTGACTCCTTTCAACCACCTTCCTATTTAGAAATTACTGACCCCTTCCAAAAACCTTCTTTTACTGACACATATAGGAACCCCTCAAACCGCCTTCCTAGTCCGAAACCTAGTGGCCCCTTCCGAAAACCTTTGAATACTGACCGACACTTAGTGAGCCTTCCTATTTGGAAACTTATTTACCCCTGCCAACCACTTTCCTATTCGAAAACTTGGTTTAAATTTGAAGAAAATAATGAAAGATTTACTACTGAACAACAAAATATTTACTCAGAAGCTAACCTCGATTAGCATGTTGATATTGTTTAATTAGCTCTAGTTACCAAATAATATGTATGTATATTGTATTGAATAAAAATGAAGGTATATGTTGGTGATTCGGTAATAAATTCAAACTTCAGATACGTAGTTATGTTTAAATTGAGGATCAGCTGAAGCTAAGTAGAAAGCGGTGGGTTTGAGAACATGAATTTAATTTAATTATCAAACCATATACATGTAAAAAGAAAAAAACATACAATAGAAAATAGAATAAAAGCAATTATATGGTTAGGACCACAAAGCAGATTGCTCATAAAAATGCCACCACTTAACACAAATTAAATAAGATTTAGTCACCATACCCACTAACACACACACACGCACACGCACACACACAAAATACTGCATATACACATACCTACACGAAATACTGTATTGTATCGTAATTGTATTTACATGCACGTGAATCGATATAAGCTATTTTGGCGTCCCTTAAAGAATAATGCATTAGAAATATATATTACGTTCAGATATATTCGATTTATCCAAACTGTACATTTTTGGGATTACTTTGAATTAAAAATTTATTTTTATATTGTGTGATTTTGTTTTATGTTGACCAATATGTATATAATGCACGGTGGACATTATCAACACATTCTCCGTATGGGATAAAGGGATTTCTCAATATCATTGCTGAAATATATTAATTGTAAACTTATAGTAATTTTTTACTGAGGAATGAGGTTTATAATGGGTTTATCATATATTAAGAATTGTTATACGAAACCGCAATAATGTTATAACCAATTTATAATCGGAATAAAGCTTTTAAAAGTCTTTTCATTCTTTTGACGTCAAAGTCTTCTCTTTTTTAAAGTTTTGAAATAGTACGTCCTTTCTATTACGTTATTCACTCGTAGACTTACATTTAACTGTTTTGACTATTCATATTTTATCGAAGTTTGTTAAACCAAAAGGATAGTGCATTACTTTGCTTAAAATTGTGTTTTTATTTTCATTCTTACAAATTGTTATCCTCTGTCGTTGCATTGTTGAAATGAAGTAGTCACCTTATATATCAAGTGATTTCAAGGAAAACAATATATTTGCTCGCACGGTATCTTTATTTTGACTGTGTTTTCATCTTTTTATCTGCCGAATTATGCATTATTCAGGTATTTTAGTCTGCTTGTATCAAGTGATCAAAAACAAAATTATTTTTTTATCAACCATTACTTTTTAATTATAACGTTGTTTGCGTTTAATATTTATTAACCTAAACTAGATAAAGTGATATATGTGAAAGTGATTAATATTTTGGAATATAAAACGCCATCTTCATTACAAATCACCATCATATGAAATTCTTTGGCAAGTCGTTAACATTTCCCTATGCTATCTTCCTTTATACCTTTTTTCTATTAATTCTTCTTGCCCTAGCCCATTCTATTCTGCCGTTAATAATTTCATGATGGTTATAGTTATTAATTGAATATCTAATTGAAAATGATCCAAGCTGTTTTTCTATTAGAGAGAAAGGAAATATCACTCGATACACTTTGATAAAACAAACTGGCAACAATGTAAACAAGAAGCTGTTAAATGACGAATAATTTATTCAATTCTTTTTTTGCTCGTCATGAACAATTCAAGTTACATAGATTCAATGCAAACCACCTGGGGGTTTTCTTAATGTAAAATAACCATACAATGTTCAATTTTGACGCTGCACGTAAATAAACATTACCAAGTGGCTTTTCGTTGAGATGAAATTAAGGCACACGTAATTTATACGCCATGATGAAGCAAAATAATGTCAATGCGATTATACTACGTTCTACGTTCAATTTTCCTTTGCTAGCAATGGATGGAATTCTCCTTATTTCAATAAGACAACTCTAACTCGAAACAGGAGTTTTATTGTAGACTCAATTTCATCAAACCACTGCTCATAGGGGAGTAGTAACTGCTAAACATTTGCTCTAACTCATTTTATCAACAGACCAAAGTAACATTTATTGGTTCTATAAACGTATGAAATATTTTCAGACATTTTATATGTTTCTTACAAGGCTAACTGAATTATGTAAGCTTTAAGACCAACCCGACGTTATATTCAACGTGAAGGGGTTGGAAATAACATTCCTTGCATTTTACCAAAAGTATCTGGTAACATTCTCCATGGCACTTAATTTGTTGTTGATTGTATTTGTACTAGTGAGTTGTTTATTTAGACGTCATCAGGTATGACACGATTAGCAGCGATCTCTATGGCCTCGTGAGTGAGCTTCTGTGGTGGTGGTTTGACCTTGGTGATCTTGTAGCTTGGATCTTGTCCTAGCAACCAGAAGGTATGGATTTCTCCTTTACTCTGGAAACAAATCACACAGAGAATATACAAAATTAATGATTTTATAAATTTCAGCTTCCAGACTAGCAGTCGATTGAATGATGACATGTCTATGACATAAACTAACTGCGACTATCTGAAACTATATTACATTATTATTGGAAGTTGTAACTAAAGATGTTTCTGTCAGACTTCTTGTTGTATACAACTACATTGCATCCTTCAATTGGCTAGATATCAAGATTTCACTAAATTTAATGTTTGTGATTGAAGTACATATTTATCATAGGGTTTGTTTTCAACAGCTGGAATATTTTGAAGGTATAATAATTTCATTGTAGCTACCTTCATTGGAACAAGGCCTCGATCTTCAAGTTCATAACCACCAAGCTTATCCAGAACCTCTTTGCACCATGGACTAACGTGGATTCGCAGAGCTGTAAAAAGAATCACCCAAGTCAATTCGAAAATGAAATCCCAAAATATATAGATCATCAGTTAGGCCTTTCGTTGTAGACATTTAGAAAGGAAAAACAATGCTCTCTCTCTCTCTCTTATTTCACGTGAACCCGCGATTTATATAGAATAGGCAAACTATGATTCCAGGTATTGTGGTTCAGTATAGTCAAAGTCATGATGTGAAATTGAATTCTATCTTAATGATGATAATGAAAAAAGAATCAATTTCAAGTTTAAGTGCATGAAAATTATTTCCGAAATGAGATGAGTAACTTCAGCTACTTCTTAAGCCTACGTTACTCGGTTTGAATACAAATGAGATTTTTGTATTGCAGTATAGGGCTGAGTCTTTTAAATGTGTAACTATTAACCGTTTAAGATTTAGAATTAGTTGGATGAGTATAAAGAGAAACATCGTTAAAAAAACAAATTGGAGTAATGATGAATCTGGATATTGATAGGCTGAAATGATTTTTGTTGCAGAAACCAAAATGTTAACTGACCAAGTCCATTTGATTCCATCCAGGATGGGTCGTTGAAGGTATCTCCAAAGAGACAATACCGAGGCATCGTTAGACCAACTACAATAGCAACATATGAAACATAAGTAAAATTTAATACAACCATTACGTCACCGAAATTAAATGAGACCTTGGTACTTGATTGGGTAATCCCTTTAGCAGCTAACTCAGAAAGCTATACTGGTGAGAATCAATATGTTACTGCAATCTGTTTCATTCAATACCTGGTTGAAGAATTGCTTTTTTATTTTACACTATGCATGTACAATACTTATAATATAAACAACAACAACAAAACAACTAGGAAATACTCTTTCAGTTTTACGCATTCTCCAGTTTAATTTTTTTTAAACATTGAAATATATACAAAGCATGTCATAGATAAAATGCAAGGTACTTGAAATCAACTCATATAAAATAAGAAGAATAAAAAGGACCATCATTAAAAGCCTATTGAGGCTTGACTGATTGATAGTCCCAAAAATTGGCAAGTTATAACATCAATATTTTTTAGCGGAAAGGAGAAAAGGTAAGGTGAAACGAAGGTGTTGGAAGTTTTCAGGTAATTTTTTGAAGACAACTGATGAATTATTACAAACTGTTGATGAAAAGATATATAAAAATAAAAATTGAAGTTTTGTAAAATTAATTTGCTTAAACACTTTTGCTCCATGTTAAATTTCTATTACAAGATCGAGCACGCGATCTTTATCTCCTGGCTGCAAGCCACAAACAAATAATCTTTACAACAATTGAAACTTCTCCCAGGAAACCTAACATGCAAAGTTGATGTTAAGATACCCAAAATGGTCCTAAGATTTGGCAAGTTATAACATAAATATTTCAGCGGAAAGGAGAAAAGTAAGGTGAAACGAAGGTGTGGTAGCCTTCTGATTTTGCTGGGCATCCTATCACTTCCGAAAGGGCATGGACGATGCCACGATATTGTGTGTGCCCCATATTTTTTTTGTTTGCTCCCCTTGTCTTAATCTTGAATATCTAACTCTAAATACAATTAATGTAAAAACATTTAGAATTAGAAAAAGGGTTAAACCGAAAAAATGCTTTAATGGAATACAAGATATCTAGCTTCACTTAGTCTGTGCTAAAATAAACGTAGATCGGATAATTTGTTATGATGTCGGGAGGAGTACACTGTATACATAGAAAGTAAGGAACTGGGCTCTCACATATTTCTTGGGGTACTTTGGAGGGTTCATCCGCTATTATTTTTGAAAAATAATTGAAAAATAAAAGAAGAATTGGGCCATGATAACTTTCGACATTTGTGCATTCTGGAAATCTTTAGCTGATCATATCAGCAGGAGGGCCTGGTTTGAGGAAGTAGTTTTTGAGACAGAGATAGAGAGAGAGAGAGAGAGAGAGCCAGACAGACAGACCGACAGAGAGTCAGACAAAGATTTATCTATCTATCTCTCTCTTTCTCTCTCTTTCTTTCTCCTTCACTCTCTCTCTCTCTCTCTATTTCTCTCTCTTTTTTATCCTTCTCTTTCTCTTCTTCTCTATCTCTCTTTCTCTTTTTCTCACTCTCTCTCTCTCTACACCCCTTTCTTCCCATAGCTCTTTCACTTTAGATTCTCAATTCGTCAACCTTCTCCGCCAATCAAATAGAACGCCCATATGTTGGGTTCTATTCTGCATGTACACCACAAAGCACAAACATAGAATTCTACTTCATGTACATTATGGTGACACATGAAATGTGCAATACAATCGTCTGATTTTAATAAACACCTGCAGCGATATGTATTTGGGAATCTTTTGTTGAAGTTAGGCGGTGTTTGCTCCAAACATCATTTATCATTGCTTCCAGTTTCTATGGGTTGTTAACAGGAGGCAGACGGTTCTTTTCAATGATCAAAGCTAGGCCATATTTCTTTGTGGAGTGTTGGGCTTAGACAAGACCTGAAGTATACCAGAGACGTGAACAGATATACTTCGTGAAGTTTGGGGCACTTGTATGTAAGTTATTATGTATTTTATACTCAATTGATTTATAGTATTTGGCAAATGAGAACTTCTGTTCCTTTATACAAATGTCACTTCATAAATACTCATATGAGGCATAAATGCATCGCGTATCAAGAGTATTACTAATGTTGATATCTTATGAAGCTACAGTATCCTCATATGAGAGAGGCGATCGAGGGAGTACGTGTGTGCGTGTGTGTGTGTGTGTGTGTGTGTGTATGTGTGTTTATGTGTGTGTTTATGAGAATGTTAGCAGACATCCACTGAGTGAGTAGTGTGTGTGTGGGGGGGGGGGGGCTGGGTGGGTTGGTGAGTATGTGTGTGTGTGGGTAGGTGGGTGTTTGTGTGAGGGAGGGAGGCAGGGAGGAGCAGGCATTGTTCCAGTAAAAAAATACCTCCAGATTTTTTTTGATTTAAAAAAAAAAAAATAAGTGAATTACATTTGCAATTGACATATATATTATGTTTAGGTACTTATACGTTTACTTTGTTGCTAAATTATATATACTGCAAATAAGTTTTTGTTTAATTATGTAAAAGCAATCAATATTGAACACGTATATTTTATTTAATTGTATGTTATGGTTTGTATTATACATTTGGAGAAATAAAACAAAATTGCTTTAAAAAAAGTGTGTGTAGGAGGGAGGGGTGTGACAAATACATGTACCATATTCACTATGTTAAAATATGTATTTATTTTGTGATTGCAACAATAATTTCTTCAACTTTATCCTAATCCATTCACTTAATTTATTCAATCCTTATGCCAGAACTCCTTACCTACATACTTAACAC